GGGACCCCCGGCCGTGCCCCCACCCCCCCCCGCAGTCCGCCGTGCTCCGCTTGCCCCGCATCACTTCTCATTTTCCCCGCTGCCGAGCGCTTCCCTCCTGTTGCATTTCGGGTGAGTCATGCAATTAATCCCAGTTAATTGCCTTCTCCTTATTGCCTGATGCCCCGCGTTTGAATTCCTTTGTGTCCTCGGAGCTGAAAAATAACGCGCTTAGAACAGGGACTCGCTTTCCCGGTGGGATTTTCGTTTTCCTGGCGGGTCCTGCGGGCCCGGGGCTGGTGGGGGGGGGTCCCAGCTCAGGACCGGCGGCTGTAACTGGGAGATGCTGGTGGTGGGGGCCGGTGTGCCCTCGGCTGGCAGGGGGGTGGGCAGCGCCGTCCCGAAGCTCCCCAGGGCTTGGAGGAGGCAGGTTTGGGGAGTCCCTGGTTGCTGTGCTGTGGCTCAGGTCTGGCTGTGCCCATCCCGGGGTGACCCTGCTCCTCCGGGATGGGGTTTTTGCAGGATGATGGTCTGGGATTTGCAGAGGTGGATTCAGAGCAGTGGGGGCTTTGCTGTGGTTGTTTGCTCTGCCTGGTGGGCAGTGGTGGGTTAGGGGTGCCAGGCCCAGGCTGCTGTGGCCACACCAGTGTCTTTTGTCCCCATGTCCCTTTGGCTGCAGGAGATGGGCAGAGCTCTGGGGCAGCTCCAGTGCTGCCCACCCTTCTGCTGCGGGGCTGTGTGGTGGCACTGGGAGGGGTACTGGGCCCCCCTGCCCCTCAGAGCATGGCTGCTCCCTGTGGGTCCCCACTTCTGAGGTGACACTGCTCATTTTCAGCCTCCCTGGTTCCCAGTCTCAGCTCTGGAACTCGGCAGCTCCAGAACTCCTGCCAAGGTGTTGTTCCACCTTGTTTGTCCCTGGCTGTGTCCAGGTGTCTTTGCTGCCAGTGCCACGGGAGAGCCTCGTGCCAGGGCACTGCTGTGGTGTCTGTGGGTGTGCACGAGGCACAAGGGCCCAGAGCAGCCTTTCCAGGGCTGCCAGCACCAGTCCCTGTGCCACGAGCCGTGTACCAGCCAGCGAGGGGCTGCCAGAACCCTTCTCCCAGAGTGGGCCACACTGTTGCTGCATCCCCCCCCTCGTGGCAAGGACCCTAAATCCCTCCTCACACCAGGTTGCCCCCGGGCCCGTGCAGCTCCCTCCCGCGGGGGTGGGGGCTGGATCCTGCTCACATGTGTCCTGCCCTGTGCAGGGTTCCCTCAGGAATATTTTTTCCCCTTCCCTGAAGACTGCAGCACCAGGGCCAGGCTGTGTAAACACAGCGAGGTATCATCTGATAACAGGCAGCACTCGGGGCTTGATGTGCTGGGGAGTGATTGTGTTGCCAATGTATTAAATAACTCCCTATCTAATGTATACCCAGGTTAGTGCAGAATTCATTTTATAATAAGAGCACCGGGATGCACTTTATTAATCATTCTGTCTAACAACCTGCACTCCACAGTTTCGGTTTGATTTGATTCAGTCCTGTCTTTCTGCAAAATATATGGCTGAGTGGGTCGGATAATGTATGGCTTAATTTAGAGTTGTATGCCTTTGAATTACCATTTTCATAATGTGCTGTGCATTAATGTGTTGCATCATTTATACAGACAAATGTGCAAGGTTTCAAACCTCTCCGGGAGGCAAAAGTCACCTGAAGGGAACACTGAGCTGCAAAAAAAATAAAAAGGCCTTTTCAAATGCAGCTGGTGGGGGGTGGTGGTTTAACTGGCAGGGATAAGATGGGTGGGTGTTTGGGGGTGGTGGGTCCAAGCCCTGAGGTGCCAGGACCTCCAGTGCTTGACTTGCCGGTGACCCCGGTGCCGGTTCTCGCTGCCACCGCCGCGTCGGTCACCCCGGGCCGCGAGGAAAAAGCTCTGATTATCCAAATACAGTCATTAAAGGGGAAATGTGTTTTTAGGACTGTCAGAGTGATTAATGAGGGTTAGCAATCCTTGCAAATGCACTTGTTTAGTCTAACTGGCAGCCTCTATTTTCCTATTGATTTATTTCTGCAGTTGCCGGGGCCGCGGTGAGTGTGGCAAGAGCCGGGACTGGGGCTGGTTCAGCAGGGGGAGCAGCAGAGGGCCCATTATACCTTGTGCTGGGGAAGGAATGACTCGGACCCACAGCCCGCGCGGCTCCGCCGTATAAACATCCCCGTCTGTAAAGCCCGAAGCCCCTCTGCCCGCAGCTGATCCATCCTCCCAATAAATGTGTGAATGAAAGAGAGAGGCCGTCCTTTTTTTTTTTTGGGGGGGGGTTGTTGTTTTCCTTCCTCTCCTGCATGCAATTCCCCCGTGTGTTCCAGGTGATGCAGAGGTGTCTGCCCGCAGCCGGACAAGGCGTTTCAGAGCACCGAGGCTTCGAGGGCTGGAGCGGCCGCCAAGAGGAGGTCAGGCCGGGATGCAGAGGCAATGGCCAGAGCAGCCAAGATGGTGGGTGGATGAGAAGTTCCTCAGCTGCATAAAGCAGCTTTTATTTCTGCCTGAGCCCTGGTGGAAGCCCCGGAGAACACGGGCTCTGTGTCCTCGCAGCTGGAGCAGTGTGGGCACCTCCTGTCCCCCTGCCAGCATCTCCACGCCCAGCTGGGGGTCAGGCCTTTGCTTTGGGGGATGCTTCGTGTGCTGAGAGCAGACCTGGAGATGATGGACCTGGAGGGACAGTCCCACGCCTGGAGATGGTCCTGGCATCCAGCACCACTGGCAGAGCTCCTGCTGCCCACAGCCACGTGCCGGAGCTGGGAAGGGAGCAGCCCGTGGCGGTGACGTGGAGCAGATGGGGCAGCCCTGCACATCTTTCCCACTGCATCTGGACACCTGGTTTTGACTGGTCACTGGTTACTCCGTGGAAGCATCCAGCAGGATCCATGACCATGGCTTCCCCCCCACTTCTTCTGCAATGTCAGACCCTGGATCCCACAGTGGCTCAGCGTGGCAATCCCAGATCCCACTCAGCACTCCAGCCTGGGGCTGTGAGCCAGCCCGGTGCTGGGGCTGCAGCCTCTCCCCACAGCCCTGGCACAGATTTCCAGCGGCGCGGGTGAGCGATCCTGCTCATTAGGGTGATGCATGGGCAATAGTTATCTCTCTGTTTATTATCCTGATGAATAACTGAAGAGCCATAACTCTGCACACACAAATGCTTCGGCTGAACGCTGGCTGGAGGGCGCGGGGGGAGGCGCTCGGCTGGCAGCTCAGTCACAGAGTTTATTCCTTCAGCTCAATTCACAATAACAAACAGATTTCCACAGAACGTGATGTTTTCTGACACAGTGTTTATGGAAACCTCCTGGAGCAGCTTCACCCTGACTCCAGCCCACCTTCCATGAGATGGGACAGGGGACACAACCTCCGGATGTACCCTTGCCAGAAGAGCTGCTGTGACTCTGCTGCCACCCCAGCAGAGCCAACCCCAGAGAGCTGAGCAGAGCTGGGCACATGCCTGACACTGTGCAGGCTGCAGCAAGACTCCAGCAGCACCTGGTGTCCCAAACACCAGGATCATCCCTTCCAGCACTGAGAGACAG